TTGGGATAGATATATAGTTGCATTCTCTTAATGAATAGAATGATTTTTTCTAATGGTGTTTGTAAGTAGGATCACAAGTCTGCATCTTGTATAGCAATTAACCACTGAGAAGAATGTATGCAGTGTATTATTTGTTGAAACTATACTTTCGATTTGATTTGAAACTGTCTCATTGCTATATGTTTATCAATAAAACTTTGAAAAGAAAAAAAAATAAAATGAAAGGATTTTTTCATTAAAGCTACACCAAGGTTCATCAGGTTAAACTGATTATTTGTATTGGCTCTGCACCCCCCCACCCCTATCCCAAGCCACTTTTTAAAGTAAGTGGGATTTCTAAATGCAAACATGGGCTAATTAGAAATCTGCACAGTTGTCCTAGTGAGGGTAGAGCTGACTTACGGTCACGATGAGCCCCTTCTCCTGGAAGTATTTAACCAAGGGTGCAGCGTTCTGCTTGAAGTTCACGAGTCTTCTTTGTGTAGCCTTCAAGTTGTCGTCGGGTCGCCCCTGCTGCTCGGCCCTCTTCAGTAATCGCTCCTTCAGCCTCTGGTTGGCACAGGCGAGGAAGACCACCAAGTCAGGAGTACAGATCTGTGGGCATCAGGCAAGCAGAGGGTGTCAAAATCCTACTGGGTCAAGGGAGGGCAGTGGCATCCTTCTCTGTTTCTATTGACACTGTCATATATCTGGCCTTCTTGTTTTTTGCCAGTATATTTTGTGGGCTACCATTTTCCACAAGGCCCAGGGTTGGCTACTCCATCCCAGTTCTGTATTACCCTTCACCCGTGTGGCCACGTACAGGGTCCCTTCACACCTCGGGAGATACTCTGTGGTCTTCCCTGAGCTATACATCCCTGGGTTATATATCTCTGGGCTATATTAAGGACAATATAGGTCAAACTTTGCCAAAAACCTATGCAACCTGATTTGGGAAGGGAGATGACTTTTGGATCACAGACACTGTCTGTGGTGCACACACACTTCTGTTCTTACCATCTGTTGCCTTTTAGAAATTATCCCTGCATGTCACACCCAATGCCAAACATCTACTTTTATTTTCTATTGTTTTTATTATAATTATTATTTAAAATGTATTTAGTGCAGGGCTTACAGGGTCTCACTATGTAGATTGTAGATTGGACTTATAGTGATCCTCCTGTTTGCAGCCTCCCAAGCACTGGGATTATAGGCACGTGCCACCACGCCCAGTCTCAGGCGCCATCTCAGTGTGCCCTGGGGATCGAACCCCTGGCCCCTGCATCTGCTTAAGCAGACACTTTAATCTGCTGAACTATTTTGGCCAGCCCGCCATCTCCTTTTTAATAGTGTTGGACTTAATGACAAACTGCAATGTAAATATCCTCTCCATTTTATAGAAGAGCAAACTGTGGATCTGAGAATTTGCATTTTTGTCTGATCATGTGGTCAATAAGGCAGAAGTCACTATTTGAACCCAAGTCTGTCTATTCTATGGTCTCTGTTCTTTCCATTCTCACAGAGAACCAGGAAGCCCACAGGCCTTCATGAATTTCTGCACATACTGTGGAATAACCTGAAAAGATCATATGGAATAAATAGCTTTTGTTCAGCTATATTAGAGGTAGGACTGTACTAAAAAGGTGACCAGAAACAGAGGAAATGGAGTTTATTATTGAGCATGGGACAGAATAGACAGGCAATCTGCCATGGTAGCTTAAAGCAATAATCTCTAAAATTTTTAAGTTTCATCTTTACACTAGTAAACTTCGGGGGCATATACCCCAATAAACACATTATTGTTAATTTATAAATGATGCATATATACAACATGTATGTATTGCCATATAAGCACAGAATACACATTATAAAACACACACAAATTTTAAAAATAAGGTACAACAATCATATTATTTTTTGTACACCACTCTGGTTAGCCTTGTGTTCTCTGGAGCTGGCTTGTTAGAAAACAGACATGGGAAGCTGACAGATGACAATTGCAATTTTTGTCCCAGGACTTATCAGCTAAGTGATGGGCAGGTGGTGGCACTTTGTTAAGCTTCTGTGTCCTCATTTATCAGTAGAGATACAAGAAAGCTACCCCCTTGACTTATTATGAAGTTTAATAAATAAAATGTGGAGCAAAACTCAATGCATTTGAGCCCTGTTAGTGTCACCGTTTTCTCCACTCTGTGTGTTCCTGGTTCTCCTTCACCTTCTTTATTTTGTGGGTTTTCCTTCACTCACTCACATTCTTCCTTCTCCAAGCCCAAGTAGAGATATTTCCCAGGACTCATCCCACACCTCCCCGCTCTCTGAGTTTTCATCCTTGCAGCGCCTTCTGTTTAATTTCAGCCACTCTCCTGTGTGTGTGGATTCCAGATCTAAATCTTCACTGCTGACTTTCAATAGGCCCTCTGTGTTGAATTTTCAGATCTCTCTGTGATGGCTTTGTTTGGAAGTTGTGGTGGTTGTTTTTCTTTTTTGAAGTTTTTAACATACTTGGGATTAGTAAAACCAAAAATTAATCTCAGCATCTTTTGAACCTAAAACTCCTGTCTTCTAGATTGGCTTATTTTTATTGTAGCAACTTTCCTTCCCTAAATCCCTCTCAGATAGAAACCTTAGCCTTACAGTATTATCTCTTACCCTACCTCCTCAAAGCTTCAATTAAACACTGCCTACCAATTTTGTCTTTGAGACTCCATCTAGAACCAAATTTAATTTTATCTAAGACTTTTAATGATCTAAATGTACAAGATAAAATGGTACAGAATCTAGAAGATTAAGATTAAATAGCTTCTAGATCTTAGAGTGGACAGAATTTCTGAAATAGGACCTAAAAACTCTAATCATAAAAGAAAAAAGTTCATAAACTGGTCTGCTTTGAATATTAAAAAACTTTTTTATTAAAACACACAAAGATGTGAAAATATCAGCTAGTGATATTTTCACTGGGAAGAGATATTTGCAACATAATCAATAAAGGGCTTGCTTCAGTCCTAGCTCAGGTCCGGTGAGTGTGCGGAGAGTTTCCTGCTACCCTGCGCCGGCGGGACCAGTCCCAGCCCAGGCGCAGTGTGGGCCGGACCCTCTCCCAGCCCCTCGGGCCGCCCCCCACCACTCTGCAGTGCCTCCCCCAACCCGCCTGCTGAGTAGGATTTTCTGCC